TCATTCGCCGATCTCAAGCGGCATTATTTATCCGCTTATCCGCTTTATATCCTATTTTGGTTATTATATTTTGACTAATATTGCTGTCCAGCTTGTGCCGTGAACTCCGCGTGCAGAGATTAATTATATATTTTTACATGCATTATAATTGCTGATTCAAATTATGTTGTTTTTTTTTTTTTTTTAATTTCTTGCTGATAAAGAGTTAAAAAAAATTTCGAAAATAAAATCTGCACCCTTAAAAAAAGGTTTTTCACGATTTTAGTAGCAGGTTTTTGGACATAAAAAATAACTCTTAAATTATAATTTAAAAAACATTTCTACCTTTGTGTTAGTCCAATGCGCTAAACAAATTTTTGCTAATTTTGAATTAAAATTATAAGGAATACACTAACTACAAGTAGCATATCGTCATTAGAAAAAGTTAAAATAAGTAAACAGAAAAGTATTTGTGCACTGAAATACGCGGGCTCGCCTGTAAGTTGTTGTCGAGTGTACCTAAGTGGCTTTTAAATCTAATGTCGTGGTAGAGAGTCAGTGAGGCTTAAAAGCAGAATCCTATTTAAAGCACTTCACAGGCGGTGCACAAAAATATCTTTGACCGACAAAGAATAGTAAAAATTCTTCATAATTAATAATTTAAGAGAAACGTGTCTTTAAAATTTAATAATAATACGAAGATTAATTTGCTGCAAAAAGTTTAGATATTTTATATAATTAGTAATAAACTAATATGTACATGTATCTCGTTGTATTTATTCGTTCACTAATCAGAGGAAGAGAGAGATACAAATCTTAAACAGTGAGATTGTTTTTACGGTTCGTCTAACTTTGAACGATTCTCGGATTTTGAAATAACAAAATTTTTATTTTTACATTGCAATTAAATGAATGCAATTTAGATTGCTTTATACACATCATGAAACAAATGTACAAAAGGCTATTAAACTAAATATTTTACTCTGTCCAATATGCTGGCAATAACCCTTTACCAATCATTGTACACGTGAAACAGAAGCTCAGCGGTGCATATCAATTAATTAATTGCTCCATGAATTGTTCCATTGACAATATCGATACTGCGTGTGTTAGGGCTCAATTAGTAATTGAATTCACAGGTTCAGGGCAAATGTTGACACAATTTATCGAACAATCGGAATCGACAATCGATAAGCAGTGAAAAAAATGAATTTTATTGAATTCAGCATCGTAAATTAATATTTCATTAGTCGCTTAATTGGAAAAACGTATTTATAGCAAAATGATTATTTGACAATCTTAATTAAACCGGATTAAATTAGAATTAGATTAAATTTGAACTCTATATATATAAACCGCGATATTAATGGATAAAATATTTTCATTCTAAAAAAGAGAATGAAGAGGATTTCCATTTCGACAGAATTAGTACATCAGTATCGAATATGCACTCTAATGTATAATTAATCATCGCGTGATTTAAAGATACAAAAGGGATATCTGCTATGCCGAGAGACATATTATAGGTTTTCCATTTACGCCCACGCCAACAAATGACGTTGGTTGTACCAGTTTCGAAGTATTGATACACGTCGATAAAATTATGTCAAGCGACTGAGATTTTTTCTCAAGTTTCACGGGCGACGAACATCTATAAAATCATGTCGGGGCTTTCGGGGGAAATGACGAAACTTTTATGAGCACCGCGAACTCTCGTCCGGACGATCGGGAATGCAAATACCGTGCATGACTAAGCGCGTCTTGCATCCTGTTTTCTCGCAAGGATATGCATCAAGCTTGATCGTTGATGTCGAGCATGTTATTAATTTAATTAAATGGATTATAAATATAAATGGATCGAGATACATTATAACTCGACACGTTCCGTTTAAAATAGCGTAGAACGAATGAGCACCCCCCCCCCCAGTGGGTCTATTCTGTAGCTCTTAACGACAGTTTCGTTATCGTTATATTTGCGTTGCGCAGATATTATGTATGGTAAAAAAGCTGCGCAACGACAATGTAACGATAACGAAACTGTCGTTAAGAGTTACAGAATAGACCTACAGGACTCAAAAAAATAATAATTTTCTTGAGGTAGTATAATCCCCCCTTCATACACGTGTCTATCAGGCGAGAAATTAACACATCGATAATCGAACGATCTTTATTTACCGATAAAATCTTTCTCAGCAAAAATTAGCACCTTGAGATATCAAGTTTCGATAAATAGCTCGGTAATCGATAAATCGAGATTGAAAAAATTTTATCCAAAGATAACGTTTATCTTAAACGAAGAGTATGGGGTCTGTCGAACGTACGTTTTGGGTATCTTTCACAAAAAAAGAAATTGCCCGAGAGAAATTCACGCGCGACATTTGCAAATGTCCCTATGACATCTCTCACGTTAATCTTATTGCGTAACGTTCTCCCCTTCGGTGAATCAACTGTATCATGACAATCAGATGTATAGAAGGACAAATGCTTCCGGCACGTCCGCGCAACTTGTTGATATTCACGGCGCTACGTCGGTTTATCGATAGCCACGACCGATAAGTTCGCGGACGATCGAATGGTTCTGACGTTATCACTTCCGCTCCGCCAGCCTCCGCAGACTCCGGCCGCGCGCCACGCAAATGATAACGACGTCATAATATCGATAACGAAAATAACGGCAAGGCCGCCCGCTGCGAGACGGGAATCGGTGGAGCGTGCACCGTCGAGAGAAAGGAGGATTCGCTAGCGGCTAATTAGCGGTTAAACAGAATTTAGCCGGATCAATAATGCGACGTTAGTTTGCAGGAGCAACACACGCAGCAGTGTTTGTTTTTTCTTTAATTTCTCAATAAAGAATCGTTATTTTACATATTGCATTTCACTGCGCGAAAAGTCTATTAAAACTGTTTTTTAATTTAGCCAATTAATTAAACTCTGCTAATGAAATCTTGTTACGGCAAGCTGTATTTGTGAAATTAATTATTCGGTTATGTAAAGGTACCATTAACACAACATGGCCAAATTTATAAAAAAAACATAATAATATAATATAATATAATACATTTTATATATAAAATACGAAACCCTTTTCATACAAGTTTTAAAAATATAATATATAAAAGTAAACATAAAATTTGTTCAGTATAATATAATTAAAAAAATTTTACATAATAATTGCAACGTGTGCGGTTGAATGGCATTGGCATATGCAAGTAGCGAACCATGCCGTGTAACTTCTCTTAATTAAGCCAGAATCATTGGACCATATCCATGCGGATGTGATCTCAGCCGATCCATGCATCTCAGATGTCCGACCTGTGGCACGCGTCCCCATCTAACGTTCTAGCGAGTCGGACAATGAGGCATAAATTATTATGCATTTACGTCTCGCCGCGTATAAACTGAGAGGCAGTGAAGCGAAATCCAATTATGATACACCGAAGGACGGACGGGATAGTGCTCGCAGCGTTCGTCTTCCCCTCTGGACATCTCCACTAGGGAGAAATTAATTGCATCAACAATTGTGATTATAATATTAACATTTGTAACCTCAAATTCGTCCCCCCAAATAGTGTCAGCTATAAGGATAGATATCCGTGTTTTTTGCTAATGATAATAATCACGTAGAATTTCGAACAAAAAATTCGACTGACCGCGATATTATTTCGACAACTTCTCTTAAACGTGAATTGAGAGGTCAAGCAGAATTTAAAACTTAACGAAGGATAAAATTACGCTATCTATGGTTCGTGTCTCTGAACCGCAATACGCAAGATGGTCATTCGTTCTTAATCGTCCGTAATGCAGAACCGGTAATCCGCTTTCTCGAGCTTGTTGATTACAATAATATGGAGCGTCTTGTATACCGAGTTTATTATTCCCGTTTGTGCTTCTCGGGTAAGTACTAAAACTTAGTGTAGCACGGTTAGTTAGGCGACGTCGGTTAGGTTGACGCGAACGTCTCTGAAAAGTCTCCGCGTCTCATCCCGACGAGGTCTTATAATAACGCTCTTAAATAGCATACGTTACGCTCGTCAGAGCGAATAAAGTCGGGGCGTTTTACGATCGCGAACTTCCGCGATCGCGATCGCGATCGCGGTTGCACCGATAAGAAAGACTCTCCGAGATAAAGTCACAATTTTCTGAGGAGTCCATTGCATTAACATATGAAACATGCATTAAATTGTCAATAATATTAAACATTGATGCATTGATGGAGCACCATGAATGCTACCCTATTTCATATTACACATAAAGAGGTTACAAAATGAATTGGTCACGTTTATATCATATCGAAATTATTCATCCGGGATTAAAAGGGTTTAACGCTGACCGATCTACTGGTGTAACACTAAATCAAATTTCCAAGGCACCAACGCGTTTTGCATACATTAGGATATAAATTATCCTCGAGAATATAAAAGTGCAGTTAAAGATCTGACACACGGTAAATGATTAGTGTCGCACTCTAAAAATATTATCTTATAGGTAAACCAAAATCGATAGTACTATAATAAATTAAAGCTTTACATTTACGAGAACATTTGTAAAATACAAAGAATGCGTATAACTTCCTCCATTTTATTAAATATTTTTGAATATTCAAATTATTATTTTTTTAAACTACATTTTTATAAATTGTTATTCTTGACGCTGTCTTATCTATATGTTACTTTATTCTATTCTTATTAGTATTATTTCTGCATCTTATACGATGTTTCTGTGTCAAAAGTCTTCAAGCTTTTCTTTTCTTTCTCTCTTTTGCAACGCAATGTGAGTGCCATTTCAGTAAAGTAATGCCGCGTCGAAGCAACGATTTAAACAATTCAAGCAAGCGAGCTTTGAGAAGAAATCGTCTAATAGTTCAAGGGTTAAATCGATCTCAAACTCTCGTGCGACAACCACCAGTAGGCCGCAGCGTATCGTGCAAAGGGGACATCCAAACGGAGTCTGTCTCCGCGATAGGAAAGCACGTCGGGAAGATCGTGTGTGTATATACCCTTAATAGAGAAAATTGTTCTTACGCGTGTACAATCGAGAAGAATGAGGGACACGTGGTGGAAGCCTCGCGGACTTCGTCCTTTCTCTGTTTCTCTTTGTCTTTGTCGCCCCCTTCTTCTTGTACCTCTCCTCCTTTTCCTACTCTGAATCTCTGGCCCCAGAGAGAAAGCACTTAAGCCAGAAAAACTTAATTCCTTAGTAGAAGCACTTGTATAGATATGTAAATTATATATATATATATATATATATATATATATATGTATATATTTCTGATCTTTATATATATACATATTTACCTAATCATTACATGTTATAACAAAATATATCTAATTATATACACCTAAACATTTCTGAATTCTGTAAGGAAAGATTCTGTATCGATAATCGACATTTGATACCGTTTATCCTTTTAATATTATTAAGCTTTACTTAATTTTTATTGTTTTACATATATTCTATATTGTTATCGTGTTATATTATATATTTATTATGTTTTGGTAGATTGTAAACTTTGTGAGGATTTCGAAAATGCAATTTAGTAATTATTATAATGTGATAATATGTGATAATGTGATAATGTTATACCTGATCATAAATTATTTTGGACAATAGAACTTATTATAGTTAACACGCAGTTAAACAAATTAATCGGAATTAATTGAAACTATTATAAATGCGAATAAAACCATTTCTTCCAATATATGTGCATTTGAAAAAAACAACATATTTGCGAATCAATCGTTTTGGAAAGGTGGAACACACAGTTTCAAAATGTTTATATTTCTAAAAAAAAATACAGGAAATATTGTCAACGTAATCACACAAACGTAACCATATTAACATTTTATCCTACGTTTTATCCGATGTTCCTGTGTCTGTCGTTAAAATTCTAACGGCTATTTAAATAACCGTTTACAAATTAAATACATGTGTCACGTGTGTACATCCACAAATGTGAATTTATACGAAGAAGAAGATCATTTCCCTCATGTATTGCCCTTTCCAAAACAAACGCTTCGTTTACTAGCTGTTATTTACTTGGCAACGATTGTGTGTTAAGTGCTCTCTCTGTTTTTTCTTTTTATCCCTCCGAGATCGAAGATATTAGATCCCTCTCTGCGTAACCGCCTCTCTCTTTCTTTCTCTCTCTCGCCCTCCTTCTATCGCTCCCGTTTTTTCCCCCGCGAACTGAGCGCGATCGTGTAGCACGCGAGCCGATGCAGCCGCCGCCGACGGAGCAAACAGGTGTTCCCGCGTGGAATGCGCGACCGCATACTGACGCCGCGACGCCGACACGCGGCGTCGGGTCAGTCTCTCCCCTTCGGGGAGATCCCTCTCGACTCCCCGTTGCAAGCCCCGGCAAGCTCCCTTCGGCGCGCGCGTCCTCAACCCCGAGAGCGCATCAACGATGACGCGCCGCGTACGCTCGCGAACTTCGTTCCGAGCCGGCTAGAACGAGAACGCTCTATCCGTTGACATGCAGAGATATTAGTGTAATGCGTAATGTTCCCTTCTGCAATTTATTATTCGCGTGCGTACTTTCCTGAGAAAGCTGTTAAAAATTCATACATATACACATAAAAGCTCAAACGATTTTAATTATCTCTCAGATCAGATCGTATATATGACGGCACCGATTGCTCTCAAATAAACGATTGAACTTTCTATAAAATAAATTTTCCGGCGGCTAAGCGCATGTGAAGAAAAACTAAATTAATTTATTGATTTCAAACATTGCGTCAAGAAAGTTTTGTTTAAATATTTAAATACTTTATTTATAAAAATTTATAATATTAAAAAACATGAAACATTTTTAGTAAGAAAAATACGAGCAGAAAACTACAATCGCGTGAAGCGCTATTCGACTGGATGTCACGTGAATTTTGTCACGCAACAGATGAATCCGAAATGGCGGAAAAAGCTTCTTTTTATTTATATAATATAGTATAGATGTATATTATATTTTTCCTAAACTATATTATCGATAGAATTTTTAACTCGTTTATAATATTTCCGAATTCCCGTGATATTATGCATTTAGATCCTTATAAAAATGAATGTTACATATTCAAAATTATGATCTTTGGCTAAGAAAAGTTTTCTTCTGAATAGAAATGCCTTCGATTTATTAGTTTATAACGCTGTAGTGTAAACAATAATAAAAAGTTTTTCGAGAGGAGAGGATTCGAATCTATCATACCGACCAAGCGGCCCCTGACGGTTTGCACATGTGATGGTGTTGACGTGTGTGCGTAAAGACACGTGGCATGTCGCATATATACATGTAAACTTGCGAGAATGTCGACTAGATTGCAGTCTCGTTTCCTTTTTTATAACACTTTCAACGTCATAATATGGTGTAATAAAGGTACTATTTAATTTCGTGCATCGTTCTGTGTCTCGTATTATTAAATTGTGTCTGTATCGTAAAAATACACATGAGTAATCTTGTGTGCAAAAATTTTCTTATTACAAATAAATCTTTTTGTAACGCATCAATAGGCTGACGATACAATTTTGTTAACGTGTTAACAAATGTTATCTATTTATTAAGAGTTATATCAACGAACACGCTTATGCAATAACATAACCATGCATCTCTTTTTTTTCAGAGAGCGGAGGAATCTTTCCAAGTCGTTATGATTCAGTAAACAAGATATCCGGTGATTAGATAACATTATCAATAACTGCAGAATATACATATAGTTCGATACACAGTTATTTGGAGTACCATTCCATGCTAGTCCTTTCGCTGTTTGCTAGTGTACTAATTCTCAAGATTCTCAAGATGAATCGAGGCATAGAACCTCTGGATCCATCCAAAATAAACATCACGTCAAGAACATTGCATCAACCGCCTCTCGACGAGTTAATGAATGGTAATTGTAAAGCATTTTGGATTTGCAGCAGGAAACTGCGGGTAGTAATAATATAATTTTTGTTTATAGTCCTAGGAGAAGGATTGACTGCAAACTTTGCAGAGGCCACTGTCGAGATTGCTGATTGTCCTGATTTCAACAGATGGCCTTATTGTTTTTATCGGGAAGGTACGCATATAGAAAAACAACAAGCATTTGGTCTTTCTCCGAATCCCATATCTTTGATAATACTTTCAGGCTTGTGTGGCAATCCGATTATTTTGGATGTTGGTGGTCCAGCGTATCTTCTACCAACTGTCCAGAGAGATAAGTTCTACGATGTTAAGTCGTTGCTGCGACAGTTAAATTACAACCATGATAGTCTCGTTATCGGCGCAGGAGCTGGTCCATGGCCACATACAGGCAGCAATTGCGAGGTGTGTAGGTATTATAAGTGCATTATCTAAATTGTATTAATAATATCTTCTAATTTGAAGGAGAGAGAAAGCAAACTTATATAAATAAACGAAAGATTTATTTCAGCTTATTATGAAGTTAAATGTATCAAACCACCGAGTCTCACCAGGGTATAAACTTAACATGGGAGTAGGGAATGGGACGCATTATGCATTTGTAAATAAGTCCACTGGAAAGTGCTTGTTCGAGCGTATAGTTGCTAATGAAGATGAAACAACTTTCGCATTGTTGGCCAATCTATATATATCCGAAGGCAAGCCAGGGAAAGTTATAAAAGTACGCGCTAAAAAACGTACCGGTAAACTGGACTTCATATCATGCATGCAGAAAGCGTTGGAGAAACAATACGGAGATAAACTCGTAGGTAGGTCTTACGAATCATCATTGCTATATCGACCGTATGGATACTCGAGTAAACGTCAAATATCTCTAAATCTCTTAGGTTTGGGTGGCATGTTCGAGATGAAGAACGGAAAAGTGAAACAGCATATTATGCCAGATTTTTCGGACACCCCGTTGACTACCGAGGCACAGCTTAACAACTGGCTACGTTTCTATGAAATGGAGACCCCTCTGATAGCTGTCGGCACATTTGTCAGCGCTGAGACAGTAAGCTTTAAAGAGATTCAATCCGTATGAAAAAAGAAAGAATATCAGACATGTTGGAGTACAATAATATATAAATTTATTTAATGATTTTATTTATCTTGTATTTTCAATTAAAGTATTCGTTCTTTCTGTCAGGATTTAGATCTCAGAGTGCAGCATTTCCACAGTTCTTTCGAAGAGAGCAGGTTGGGTGGACATTATCACATCGATACAACACCGGATACTATTGAGTACGAGGGCTACTTCAATGTGGCAGCTACGCTTTATCGTGTCGATCAACCGCCTAATAAACTGCAGTTTGGAAAAGATTAATTTCGTACTTCAAATATTTTCATCAGATTGAACTTTATCAAATAACTTTATGCCAATGAAATTGTAACAAAAGAAGATATGTTGATATAATGTATTTTGTTAGAATTTATACAAATTTATCTAAGAAATTCCATTTTATATGTTTAAGAAATAAATATATTTGTTTAAAAATACAAAAATAATTAGATCCGTTTTTTCTTCAAAATGCCTTCCTTTTTTTGTGCAAATTGAATTAAGCGAATTTGTATCAAATTTCGTCAGCTCGGAAATTCATAATTTATTTGATCTCAAATATTATTCCGTCAATAAAGACTGTAACGACCGTTATAATCTTGTATATGTTTACGTTATTTATTTCCATTATGTTTTGGAGATATCGCCCTCTGGCTACAATGCTTTGTGTGATTAGGTATTAACATCTACGCTGTTTAAGAAGAACCACTCTATTAGCTGCATTAATGTAATATAATCAAAACCTAAGCAGTTTATAATTATATATCATTCGCTTTGCAGCATATTTTTTAAACAAGTGTTGATTGCATTATTTATATAATATACATATATATATCGGTAAATGATATATTACGTATAACGTATATGAACTTTCGCAAATATTCTAATGCGACATTCCTTTTACCACATTAGAATAAATAATAGAGACACTTTTATTAATTATTGAGAATAACTGCAAAGAGCTGATGCTTGTATGGTCATTATAGGTAAGTAGAAAGTTTTTCAATAATTCGCAGTAATTCGTAGATATAACCATGTAAAAAATTACATTTACAAAAATAAAAGGAAATATATGACGAGAAAATGATCATTTATTCTTTATAAAAATAAGTTCTCTTTATAAAAAGACATGTCTTTCGGTTTGCAACTTGAGAAATGTGCATTTAGTAGTAAATATCTTCATGAATCAAGATTTAAAACTGCTGATAAATAATATGTTTGGTACTTTTATAGCATTTTTGTTTAGATACAAAGTCTGCGTAAGAATCATGAGCCGACTTAAGAATATAACATAAGAAATGCATACACATTCATCACTAGATATGATTGAAAATTGAAGTTGTTTTACGCATATTCATACAACAAAAATATAATCAGAGTCTTTGTGTATCGCGTATCTTCTTATACGGTATTATTAATATTTTTAAGAATACCGATACGCGCAATACTAAAAAACAAAATTATAATTTATTAGTTCTATAATTTCGATATTTCAATTGTATACTAGTATAACAGTCTTGCCTTACAAGCTGTATCTATATTATACTGGAGAAAATGTCTTCGATATCAATCGACATGTTTATGTTTGATAAATTGAAATTAGCCACAAGTATGTACATGTAATATTTTTACATATAATTTATTTTAAAGGACATGATCATATAATACTTATTTTCTGCATATATTTTTTTTATAATAATAGTTGTGCAGAATGAGTTGAGTACAGATTTCGAAGAAGCCACAGTCGAATGGGTAGATTGTCCCGATTTGACTCAGCATCCTTTCTACCTTACAGCACCAGGTGAGAGATTTACTGTGCACCTGCAATATTTTCCCTATACTGATATGCAATATACATTTACAGGACTATGTGGCGATACGGCAATTTTGGATATTGGTGGTGTCTCGAATCTTTTCCCATGTCCAAAAAAAGAAAAGATATTCAAATTCGAAAATATTTTACAAGAACTTAATCGCACCCAATATGATAACTTCATCATTGGAGGAGGACTTTTCACTACGCAACCAACCTTACATTTATACGAAGTATATTTACATTTCTTACAAGCAATATTGAATATGATTTCTTTGCCTTCTTTATATTTCATCACTGTCTTAACTTTATTCAACTTTCGTCGATTTAAGCTGCGTTCCAATATTCACACTGCCAGTATTAAAAACCTATAGTTTACGATAGAATATTGGAAAGCTGCTTAAGTGTTATCTTCAATTTTGCTTCTGTTTAAAATTTGCTGTTTGGTATTATTGTTTTATCGTCATTCTTTAAAAACGTTATTGCTTTATAGCTCATTATGAACGCATCATTCTCGCCAGGAGCCGGCGGAAGAATGACAGTCAGGAACGGAAGTCGCGTTGCATTCTTAGATGAAACAACGGATATAACAAATACAGAACAGATTAAATTAGAATTCTTAACTAATACCGATCCTTATTGCAACATATATGGTAACTTCTTCGTCAGCAAAGGTCTAAGAGAACAAGTTCTCAAAGTTCGAGCTAAGAAACGCTTCGGTCGCAATTTTATAGATGCATTGCAGCGTGCAATTAGTCGATTTCCGTATAAAACGGATTCGCAACTCATGGGTAAGTACTAAATTATTGTATAATTTAATAAAACGTATAATAAAACGTACGAGACTGTCCTCCTTCAGTTATAATAATAAATTCTGAGAATATGCTATAGAATAGCTGAAACTAAGAAACATGTTCCTTTTTATATACCTTGAAAAATTTGAAATTTTGGAAAAATCTAAACGCAAAATTATACGGTGCACATTAAATGCAACTGTCGATATAATTGTCTGAAACAATTTTCACGTACTTCACAACTCTGGCGTGATAGTTAGAAAAATGAGAAGATAACGCATTCGCTACGAGAAGTTTTTATATCTAATTAAGCTACAAAAAACACTTGTAAAGGCGTGTTTCTTGCATTCATATATGTACGTGTCTCTTATTTTTGTGTACCCAACAATATATTGAAAGTTCTTCAAAACAAAAATAAGATTTCGAGCAATTCAATCTCCTTTCAGGCTGCATTCCGATATTTACTGTACTGTCAGCAACTGCATGTCAGTACTGAAAATCTATACGTGACGTAAAATATAGAAAAATATAGATTTTCAGTACTGACAGTGAATATCGGAATGCAGCCATTGTCTCTCGTCGAAAAAAATTCACACCGAGATTTATTAATTAAGCTTGTCGCTAAATCATGTCCTCTATATCATCTGATCTCGCAGGTTTCGGCGGTACATTTGTAGTGAAAAACGGAGAAGCGTTACATCACGTTATACGAAATGACTGGACGGGTCAGCAGGTAACAAAGAAGGAAAAAATTCGTAACTACTGCATTGAATATTGCAACGTGCAAACGCCTGTGATGGGATTTGCCACATTTGTTAATGCAGACAGGCATGTTGTTAATATAAATCCAGGCAATCCAGGGTTAAAAGTAAAATCGATGTTCAAGCTTCAAAACTGATACACCTACATACGCCGTGATTTATTTATTAACGATGCTCGATGCTTTCCAGGAAGTTTCTCTTACTCGATCACATGCTCATGGTTATTCTAATTACGGTGGCGGGTATTATCATGGGAACGAACCAAACGATGATACGGAGTATTTGGGATATTTTTCTCCAGCGACCAAGCTCTATCGTATTGATCCTGTACCTATGTTCTATGAAATGGTAGACTTTTCTTGTTTATAAAATCATTAACAGGAGCTGCAACGTTTCGCTCTCGATCTGTTAATTATGATGACATTGCTGACTCGTATTTTTTTTTAATTTCTTTCAAGAAATATTTTTTATTTTTTTTTTAAGTCTTTTTTAATTTTTTTTTATCGCTCTTTTAATGTCTCTTTCAAATTGCCACTAAATTTTTTTTTTGCTGACTCATCTTTATTATGATTAATCTACATTTTTATATTAGCAAAAGATACAGAGCTTAATTGTTATCTGTGTAATATGTTGATTTTGACAAATACTGCAAATATTAATAGGCAACGAAACGTGTTTATTGAAGCCATATCAAATAAATTCGCCATGTTGTTTAATTAGATCACTTTGACAGATTGCAATCGAATAATGGTCGCGATGCTTTCGGTTGAGTAAGATATCCTATTCTCTGTCGATCACGTTCGCGGCTCTCTTCTTTCCCAAAAAACGATCTCTTAATTTTATCAGCAGTCTCTCCTCACGGTCGTCACTCCACTCGCCCGAATCTTCCTATAACGTCATTAATCCGCAATAATCCGTTGGTCGTCTAAGTTATGCTGATTGCGGACGGAGTCGCAGATGCGTCGACAGGCGGACGACGACAGTACAGCTTGGGCTAAGTGCCGATCATCTGCCGATCTTCTCGCGTATTCTCACCTCGGTGCTCTCGATATACATACCGAGATGAAGTTCAGTATAGAATCCACGGCTTCCTACAACAGTATCCACCCAGCTTATCACTATACCGAGCAGTTCGCCAACAACGGCGAAACTTATCGGGATGGTACCAAATGGTACGGGGTGTTCCTGGCATTTCTGTCAGGCACTTTCTTCACCATCAGCTCCGCTCTGGTCAAGGCGGTTCGCAACGTGGACCCCATGATTCTGCTAGCTATCCGCGCCCTGGCGCAGATCCTGACGATGGCCATCGTGGCCTGCAGATCGTCCAGCGATCTCTTTGGCCCTTCCGGCCGAAGAATACTCATACATTTTCAGGTAAAACTCGCTCATCCACTGATCTTGAATCGAGCACGATTATACCGATCGCCTACGAAGGAAATGAATAGGGAATCTCTAATTTGTACAGACCATTTGTACATCCATTAATTGTCAATATTTTTAATTTTATAACGTAATTAGTACTTGCTAAATTTGATTATACCGATACGGGATGCTTAAAAGAATGTTAACCCTTATGTTGTAGCAGTAATTTTTTTTAGAGAAACAGAACTGATAACACAAGACAAGACATCATAGTAACAAATGTATTTTGTCTTCAGAGTCCCACTTGCTCACCATTATTGTCAACACATTCTTGGAATCTTCTCCAGGTCTCCAGAACTCGGAGGCATATTTTTTTGAGGTATTGTTGCAATTACATTTGCAATTTTCTGTTTTCCGAGATCTTGCACATTGCAATGACGGTGAACAAGTGGAGATTCTTTGAAAACAAAATACATTGGTTATTATTATATCTTGAGTTATCAATTCTATTTTTCTGAAAGAATTACTTCCATATAAGTTAACATTTTTTAAGCATTCTGTTACTAGTTACTGTGACAGAAATTTCGGCCCAACGAAACTAATTGGTCTCTTCTTATCTGATTACGCATATGTAAATCATTACGCGCTTATACGCAGCTTTTCTACGACGTGTATCATATTAACTGTATTAAGCCGGAAAAGATCGGCGACGAATATTATTCATTCGTAACATCTGCGTCCGAATGCGTTAGCGAAGCTTATCCCGCCAGAAAAACTAAAAGACATAACGACGAAGCTTACGTTATTTAATATAGCGTGATATAGTGCGGATTTTCTTTATGTACTATCATCGATATAATAATGTAATGAAATAACAGTGTTATAATGTAATGAAACAAAAGCTTTTTTTTAGAAATACAGTGTAATAACAATAAACTGTTACAATAAACGCGTTAATAAATAATATCTCTCTTTTTATCCTGATAAAGAAGTCTACTACTCTACTATCAAATTAATTGTAATGAAAATTCTTTAGATTTAACAAGAAACGTTTATCTTCATTTCGAGCGGAGCACGTAAATTCTGCTTCTTTATCCGATTGCTATGCCGACTTATAGTTTTTTTTTCTCCAGGGCTTAGTAGGCGGCATGACCTTATCGTTGCTGTACTACAGCTTCCGAGAACTACCTCTAGGCGATGCGACCACGATCATCTTCAGCTCGCCGGTAATCGTCATCGCGCTGTCCTTCCTCTTCCTAAAGGAGCCATGCGGTGTTCTGCGCGTAATGGTCGTTTGTACGCTCTTGGCGGGCGTCGTCCTCGTTGCCAGACCACCCTTCTTATTCCAGGTAGTCAAAAGTAAAGAGAAATTGCGTAAACCAGGTGGCATATTGACCAATAATATCAAAGTACTATTCAACAAAGATGAGCCTCCTGACAGTCAAAGTTGAGTAAATATGCAGTGCGCGAGAGAGTACATCAACCTCTGCAAAAACTTGAGACAAAGAAGATATCAAATTCACAATCGAGAAATTATCAAGAAATTATCAGATTAATTTTAATTGAAGATTTCGAAGAAACGCGAATCAGGCTGTCTTTGCTCTCCATCCCTCAATCGATTTTTCTCCTCCAGATGCACCGCGCTGAGAGCTACAACCTTATGGGATATCTGTGCGCCATCCTGGCCACTATCTTCACGGCGCTCAACATCGTCGTCATGAGAAAGTGCTCGGAGATACATTACTCCATCCTGGTATTGAACCTGTCATGCTGGTCGTTCGTCTCCGCCGTGTTCTTCTATTTCACGGTGTCTGGTCACGGCATCGGTCACGAGCTCCACAAGTTCCGGCTGCCGCACGACTGGTTCACCTGGGGCCAAATTCTGCTGGTGGCGTTAACTGGCCTCACCGGCCAGGTGCTGGTGACCAAGGCACTGAAGATCGAAGGCGCGGGTAAGGTATCGGTCACCAGATCACTGGATATCATCCTGGCGTACCTGATCCAGGTTTACCTATTCGGCGAGAAGCCCACGTCGACCAGCTTGACCGGCGCGATTCTTATCATCTCCTCCGTCGTTTGCATGGGCTTTGAGAAGGAAATATACGCGGTCTGCGACTTCATTCCGTAGTCAATGGAATTAATCATTTGAACATTCGAATCTCGGACGCGAAGAACACAAGCGAGAATAAAATTGCTAAATGCGATCTTGAATTACGCTCTGTAAATCGTCGGTTTCTCATGACGACGATAAATCGCAATTGGCAAAATTCAATTTCTTATACTTTTTAAAAAAATCACAGACTAGTCAGAACATTACGAAATATCAAAACGCTAAATACTAAAATAAATTTTTAACGATAGTATTAAGATCAACGAACATTTAATCGTTCAATTTCTCATTAGAACAAGCTTCTAGTATCACACGTCGAAGAGGTCCCGATTCACAAATAACATTCACTTGTACATGCATTCTCTTTGTCTTTTCTGTACCTCTTTCTAATATAGGTATTCCAATTCTTAAAGTGAAAATATATGACAAACATCAATCATCTAGAATTTCGATGTCGATAATAATTGTAATAGTAATAATAATAATAATAAGTTGTAGTGATAGTAACGATAATAATATCAATATTAATAAAGATATATATAATCAATTTAATGGCGAATCTATACTTGCAAATATACAGGGTGTCCGAAAAATCGCCTACTCCACTTCGGGAGGTGATTCGGGACCCAAAAACAAGCAAAAAAGTTCATACAAACATAGGTCCGGAAATGAGCCGTTTCCGAGTTATAGCCACTTTTATGTTCAAAAATCGTAAATTTTTATTTTTAATTTTTTTTAATTACAATTACCAAATTCTTTCAAGTTTCTGTCTACATTTCGAAAAGACGCTATTCCCGGTACATCTCGATTTGGAAAAGACTAGATGTATAATCTTCTTGCCTCGGCAGCATTACTTTGAGCAAGACCATACATAAGATGCATATCAGCTAATTCATTAAAACTTAAACGATCCATTGATATGAATACGGAAAGATTAGATACAACCTAAAAGTAAGGTGTTGTTAAATAATAATTTGAAACTTATTGAAAAGCCGTGATTTACTTACTGATTTTGAATAGGCGTGAAAACAACTGATTTTAAGTAGCCGTGAAAACAACTGATTTTGAATAGCCGTGAAAACAACTGATTTCAAGTAGCCGTGAAAACAACTGATTTCTTTTAAAAATAATGTAATCGTATTTACAAATATTGAAAAATTGAAAAAAAATAAAAAAATTAAAATTAAAAAAATTCAAAATATTTAAAAATAAAAATTTGTAATTTAAGAAATAATTAAGAAAGAGGGATGCCAAGCGGATTCTAAATTACGATTTTTGAACATAAAAGTGGCTATAACTCGGAAACGGCTCATTTCCGGACCTATGTTTGTATGAACTTTTTTGCTTGTTTTTGGGTCCCGAATCACCTCCCGAAGTGGAGTAGGCAATTTTTTGGACACCCTGTATATATATATATATATAGGTGATATAGTTGGATAGAAATGCAATTATTCAATAGGAAAGAAAGAAAGGTACAACTACGATTAACAGTAAACCGCTATACCATATCCAAGGTAATATAATTATTTACATTGTATATACTTTCTCTACTATCGTCCCTGACGAAACACGTGTGGACGTGCGCCATCAGTGCTATTAAATGTCGCTTGACAACGGACACTACCTACTCTTTTGACAGTGTGCTTACAAATGTATATATATATACTTCAGAGCTTAATTTATACAATTCGAGTGGCAAATGTAACGCAAAACACATTTTCTTCCTTGCGCTGTTTCTCTTATTCTCTCTCACACGCACACATGCACTTTGGTGCTCTTACCATCTTTCTCCCTCTTTCGAACCGTGTGAAATCATCATGCATTTTGTTATATCTTCTATGGCTAATCTTACTCTACGTTATGCCTTAAAATTAAAGAGAAGTTGCACATTTAATTACATTATGTATGAGTGACTTCTCGCGCTTGAAAAAGGTATGTGTACATTTATACTTCACATATATAACGTTGCTTCATTTCGCTTCGCTCTGCCCTTTTATTTTACATTTTTCTTTCCGCTTCGCAGCTTGCACCACCTACGGCCAAGACGCATCTTAGTCTTTTGATGTAATCGCATTTGCGCCTAATCTACCCTGCGGCAAGTACGTCACGCGGCTCAATTTATTTGGATAAATGTACGATCGAGGGTACATCCGTAGCGACGTAACACAGGAATGTAATCGCGCACGGTAGAGTCCTTTCGCACAGAAGAAGGGCGAGGATCGAACGATTTGCTCACGTAATTCTCGCTTCAACACGCCTCATGTGTGTATGTGTAAATATATATGTATATATTTACATATTCTTCCGATATTGTTTTTTTTTCTTTTTATCTTACATTGGTCATGATTTTTGTCCCTGAAGCGCAATTTTTGCGACTGTACAAGTGAGGGACACCTCGTGCTGTTACACTAATCGTCTCGCCTTCTTCCCTCACACGAAGTGGCTCTGCTTCGTGTCGTACATATATATAAATCTATATAATATTGCTAAAAGGAAGTTGTGTGTGTGTGTGTGTTAGCCTTGTCGTGCAGCATGGTGGCATATGCGGTAGAAAATGCTACGATACAATTAAGCGCCTCTCAAACGAGATCACAAAGATCGGATAAGATCGCGCCGGACAGACCTTTTTATCACCGATTTCTTCAGCAGTAACTGACGCTCATGACAGATTTCCAGATGTCTAATAAAAGGAATCTGATCGCTGATATAAAAAATAAAAAGAATAGTCCTTGACAGACGACAAATCGACTACAAAACTCTATATCACTTTCCTAAACATCCATATGATTATCTCCTGTTTTCTTATTACACTGCAAAGTTTTCCCTCGCCGATGCGGTCTCGTCCAATCTCACGACATCCAAAAGACCCTTTTCACAGATTTGCTCTCGCCAACATTTTATTGACCGTCGAATCTCCCCCGTTCTCGCCAAAATCCAATGTTTCTTCGACCGGCTCTAGCTCTTTTTCCCTCCCCGCTGTCGTGGAAATAAAAACAAAGTTCTGGATAGACAGATAGGCACTGCACGCCGCCGAGTCTCATCACAGTATCAAACAATAAGATGTACATCTTACCGCGAAAAAACGCGCGTTTCAAGAATGCGAAAATTTTTATCATATTCAAAATACGTTTTAGCTACAAAAATAGGGCACGCGTTCGTTCCTTTTTTTTTGCCACTTTACCTTTTCTCCCTTTTTTGTTTTTCAATTTTTTTTTTTAATTGATTGCCTTAATTAATGCCGTGGAGGTGTAAATACAAATGCCTAAAATACACTTGTCAACGTCGAGCTAAAGATACATTTGGATGTTTCTCCCTTTTTCCTAAACATTCAGCAAACAATCGTTCCACTACAGCATATTATGCAATGTGCGTTATTCTCTCTTTTTCTCTGTTTTGTTCATTCATTCATTTATATTCTCTTCCCCTCCCCCTCTATCTCTCATTCTATCAACGTTAAAGTTATATCGTACCGTATAACACAAAAATGAATTCGTGTTTCCGATAACTAATACTTCGAATACACGATACGATTAATAAAAATATTACTATCAAGATAACGTTATCAGAATAGTTCAAAAAATTTGAAAGACGGCAAAAGTATACATAGGATTGAATCTAACTCTTCATCGTCAGAACTGTCTCGCAAAAAAATTGAATAGATCTGAAAAATATTATCTCATACATCACACTTATTCTTGAATTAATTATATAAATTTTAGAATCATAATTTTCAAAAACATAGTGTTCTTAATTAACGAATAATGGAGTTAACTTACGCGAATATTTATGCGATAACAACGGGGATGCATTAATTAAATAAATGAATATGGGGAAAACTCGTGGATCTGATAGTGAGAAATATACGTCTTCAAAGAGCCTTAAAAAGTAAACGTGAAACGTATTAATCTCTCGCATGCACCGACGTATATTTCTTTTTAACGTTTCTATTCCGTAGAAACTTAAATGAGATCTCTTCCTTATGAGATTTATAATAGCCATATAAAAAAAGAGATCTGAAGTAGATAGAATTCATAAACTCGCAGCCATGCATAACGTAATAGAATAACAAATTTATAGTCATTTATTATACGTTGAAACAGCCATGTGGCATTTTATACAATTTTGAATGTATATACATATACATATATATACATATACATATACATATATATACATATACATATACATATACATATACATATACATATACATATACATATGTATATGTATATGTATATGTATATATATATATATATATATATATATATATATATA